CAAGCAGCTCAGGTCTGCTATGAAAGCGGGTGTACATCTCTGTCATGAGCGAGTCCATGCTGCGGACACGTGTCCTCCTGCTCTGCCAGGGCAGGGCCTTGTGCCCAAGGCCACCTCCACAGGAGGGGATGTCCATGCTGCGACTGTGGTCCCAGCACACGGCTCTCTCTTACCCATCCCGCTGGCCTGGCAATGGCAACAGCAGAGGGGCCAAAAGCAGGGCACAGGGGCCAGGGTGCTGCAGACGGGTGCTGCTGGAGCATCACTTGCTGTAGGCTGGGAGAGCAACCGGCTCAGAGCTGCTGAGCAGGGCACAGCCATGGCTACAACAGCCATGGGTCATTAGAGCATCCTCAGCCTTGTATGCCGCTGGGAGGGCCCTGGTTGAACCCTGGAGCACGGGAGCTCCAGCTAATTAGTCATTAATGCTTCAGAGAGGAAAGGAGCAAAATCCAACCTGTGCATGTCTAGCAGAGTGACCTGGGGGCCCTGGGACCCAGCCAGGCTGCACATCACCAAGAAATGGTTGAGGGTTGATCTGTCAAAACAGAGCTGGAGAATCAGCCCAGCCAGGTGGCTGTCCACCTCCCTGCAGCCTCCCCAGCCCCTTCATGCCTCTACGGGACTCCCGGGAGCTCCCAGCCTCTGGCAGCAGCCTGGCAAGGCTCTAAGCTGCGCTGCAGCGAGTGGCAAGCCCGGCTCATTTAATCTATTCAATTGGATTCAATTTCCAGCCACATGATTCAATTAGCCCTGGAGGGACAGCACGGGAGAGCAGAGGCTGCGGAGCATGGCCCAGGCTGCGCTTCGGCAGCAGCCGAGCTGGGAGAGGGGAGCGGAGCGGGGAGCCATCCCGCAGGGACCAGGACCCTACGCTTGTCCCGGCCCTCTGGGGCATGCGGAGATGACGGGGGGGCTGCAGGGGAGCCCCGTTCTGGCAAGGAGAGACAGGGGCTCGTCTGTGCACAAGCTGCCTGTCCTGAGTAATGTGTGGGCAGCTGTAAGGCAGAGGCTGAGGGGAGCCCTGTCCTGAGCATCTCCTCTTGCAGTCAGTCACAACCCTGAGAGGCGACAGCCACTCTGGGTCAGATCTGAGGTCTGCATCCCTAAGCACCTGCCAAGGGTGGCCTAAAGATGCTTTAAAAAGGTGACAGGAGCAAGGCAAGCATCCAGCAATGCTCCCTGACCTGTTTATTTGGGGTCCCCCCTCTGCTTCATCAGTGACCCCCCTGAGCTCACCCACACCATGCTGCAGTGGGGAGAACCAGGGCTCTGACCAGCACGAAGGACTCCCAGCAGCCCCAGGGAAGGCCACGTCCCACAGGCCTTGCAACAGCCCTTCTCCAGCCTCCTGGCCCAGACTTTCATTCATCATTTACTCTTCTGTCTGCCCTCCCCCTGAAAGCATCAGCAAAGGCATTAATTAGTTTCCACTAGGGGAAAAGCCCATCTTATCCCAGCCCCTTTGGATGTCTGCAGCTCCCAAAGCTGGGCTAAAAAAACCTCATCACCTCCACAGGGACAATCTTCCATCGAGTACGACCCTGCTCATCCCAACAAGTACCAAACAAGAAAACAGAGCCCAGAAAAGAGAGATGAGAATAAATATCCATGAGGCATCGGTGCTGGCACCGAGATGGAAAGCTGTTTGCGAGTGCCCAGAACCAGCTGTAAATCTTAGCGCAGACTGCTGCCCGCACACCAGCCCCAACACACACGATGGCAGCTGTGACTCGGCAGGGTAACGGCATCTCCCTCGGCCCGCCGTGCACCAGGCAGGGAGCTGGGAAGGACACCGGCTCCATCCCAGGAGCTAAGTGTCGGGAGGCAGATGATGCACGCTGGGGTTGATGCCCTGTGCCAATGCTGTCTAGGAGATGGCTCTCCCCATGACAGCAGGCTTCTCCTCCTGACACCCACCATGCAACAGCCTGGCAGGACCCCAGAGCAGGGGAAGAGTGTGCCATTCTTCAGGCAGAGAGAGAAAAGTGCCCAACGGGCACCAGGACATACTCACGTGGAGGGCAGCCCAATCCTACAGAAATATGGCCCCCACGCTACGCAGATAGGATCACAGCAGGTAACAAACATGACAAGGAAGAGGACGAAGAGGCCTGCAAAACCAGAGCAGGTGGGCAAAGGTGCACCCTACTCTGGCCGCTGTACATGAGACTCAAAGGTCTGGTACTCCCTGTTCTGGGCACCCCCAAGGAGCAGCCTAACCATCACACGCAGCTGACTCCCCCAGCAGTCGGTCTCCCTTCGGTACCTCGTGCCCAAGGCATGGTGCTGCCTCCCCTGACAACCTGCAGTCCGGGCAGGGGAGACTCAGCTCCTGAGGAGCTGCCTCTCTCTGGAGTCTGAAATGGGACCTGTAAGAGCTAACAAAGAAGAGATGATATCAAAAATCACAGTGGCATTTACAAATCAATTTTTAATAACTCCCTCCAAAGTTTAGCTCAAACTCAATTTTTCTCCTCCAGAATTTGGTCATTATTTTGTAAAATATTTGTCTCCCTGCAGCAGCTGCCTAATTTAAAGGCAGCAATCTGATTTCTCCCAACAATCCCCAAGCCTCAAAAACAAGTCTTCCAATAATAGACTGGGTTATAAATTAGATATAATAAAATACACCCAACTGCTCAGATCAGATACAGGAAAGTTTGGGGCCATCAGCCATGTCCTGAGGCTGAATGTTAGAGTTAAATGACTTTCTGCTCAGTTCAAGCTGGCCTCAAAACACAAGTAGTGTGTCTAAGAAAACAGGCAAATCTGCAGCAGAATCAGTGAGCAGGAGTTTGCCAACACCAGCAGCAGAGCGAGCATCATACCATGCGCAGGTAGATCTCTGCACCCCTCACTCACGGGCTCTCAGCCTTGCTCAGCCTTACAGCAGCTCCGGGGGCACGTAAGAGACAGAGGGCTGCTGACTACCGGCTGGTACCCACAGCCTGGACCAAAGAGGAGGCATCGCTGAGTGGCACAACCACCTCCCTCTGCACAGGCAGGGAGAGCCCAAGGGCAAGTGACTCCCCCATTACAGCCAGCGTGCCACCAAATGGTGACAGGGCCACCCCATAACAACCCCGCTCTCCCCTCTGTGAAGGACAAACACTGCACACTCTGGACAGGCAGGGCTCTCCTATTTATTGAGCTCTAGGTTTGTATGTACATCCATTTACAGTGCTTGGTTCGGTGACAGCGTGACAAGAGGACGTGTGTCACGGTCTTCCCCAGCTCAGCCTTGGATGAGGGCTGACCTCAGGAGCTGCTCCCAGTCACAGCCTGGGTTTCTCAGTTCACCTCAGCAAGGGAGCACCCTGGGGGAGATGAGACCTTCGAAAGCTGAGCATCCCAGAGGTTGCCGAGGCAGACACAGACTCATCCCCAACTTTCTCACGTATCTGCCTAGTCTCAGCCTAAACGGGATCAGAGAAAAGGAGGCAAGCGGACAGCTGGGTGACTCAGTGCTCCGATAGCAGTGATGCTGGGGCTGCACCTCAAGGAAGCAACTCAAGCCCCCTCTGGGAAGACACTCCTCCTCTCAGAGGCGAGATGGTCTAGCAGGAGCTCCCCACAAACACAGACAAGTGCCACGTGCAGCAAACCACTGTTACTTGTTTTCCACTGGAGAAGCTGCCTCCTTCTACATACCCTGGCCTGGTCTCAAGCAGAGTGATTTTATGGAGCCAGCTTGCTTCTCCCAAGCACCGTCCCTCTGACATGTACACATTTCCACACACTTGCATGGTAGAAAGCAAGTAAGTGCCTGGTTTAGCTGATAAAAGCCAGACAATTCCCTGCTGAGGCAAAGTATCTTCTGTTGGGAGAAGCCAGTGCTCCTAAGGAAAACATATGGTCTTCATCAGGTTCAGTGCCCAGTGGGTGGCCAAGGACATTGCTTTCAGTCTCCCATGCTCATGGCAGGTAAAGATGAACTATTAATGCAATTAACACATGTTAGCACAAATAAGCCTTGCCTAAAAATGGTAGTAAATGGGCATGATATTCACATCACTCACACTAACCTACAAGGCTAACAGTGGGACTAGGCACTTTTTAAAAAAAAAAAAAAACAACTGGTTTTTAGGGGGAAAAAAAAAAGTGGATCTAGGATGTAAATAACTTCTCTGCTTCAGTTCACCAAGTCAGGCCAGACCCTAACATCACTGCTGGGAGCTGAAAACACACGAGCAGGGTGTGGGTGTTTATGCTGCATATTCCTGAGTTAGCAGCCTGACACAGCTCTCGGAATAGGCTCTGCTGGACCCGGGCACCTCTGAAACACTGGCTCTGGTGCAGAAAGGTCTGCCTCTGCCCCAGAGCTCTTCCTTAGGAAGTTCTCAGCAGACTGTTGCTGCAAGTCGCTCGGCAAAGTCGGGAGGGCAAGCAAGAAAGTGAAGTAACTACTCCAGCTGCATTTTAGTTGCGTACTACACACAAGGGAAAAAACAGGGACTTCTTAGTTCATGAAGGTCACCAGGCACTTGCAAACGTGCAAGGCAGACGTTCCTGTGAGGAAGAGGAGGATTGTCGCAATGCAGTCTCTGATGGGCAATAAGGAGAGTGGAGGGAGGGAGTCAGCCTTTCCTCTGCCCCATGAAAATGGAGTATCTAAAAACAGCAGAGATGAGCTGGGCTACTGGAAGCAAGAGTGACCCCAAGCAGAGCTGGTCTCCAGTTACAAAGTGCTCTGTTTGATGACCCATATTATTGCGTACTGGCTCATATTGGATCCTGTAATCCAACAGCCTTGGAGGCAAAAATTTCTCCTTCTCCAGTAATCCGATGGCTTGGTTCAAGTGACACCTTCTGACATCAGTAGCCAGGAGGGAGCAGGACCTGCTCCTTGGGGAAACTGTTTTATACCTCAAAGCCATTCACAATGGGATGGCAGTGGATTTGACCTACATTGCTGGAGGGCATGTTGATCCAGGCTGACAGACCTGGGATCAGAGAGCTTTCCCCGTAGAGCAGGTGAGTGATCTCAACCCAGAACTGCCTCACACAGGTGGACTGGTTTTATTATTTTGGTTGTGAGCTCTCCCCAGCTCTGCTACAAAGGTTTCCAGTGCATCTTCCCTGAGGCTGCGGAGGGAATATCCCATTGCTATGTCACAGGAACAGCTGCCCACCCCCATGGCACCTTACAAAATTGCTTCCTCCTCCTCCTCAATATGCCAATCACCTCTCCTCAGCCCCAGTCCTGTTGAAACACATGCCTTTGGGATCAAACACACAGCAGCAAGGCTCTGCCCTAAAAGAAATGCAGTCCCTTCTGAAGGTGGAAGGCAAGGGGCAATTGGCTGCAGATCTGTAGTGTCCCTGCCCAGACAGGCCCGTCTCTGGTCAGCCCTGTGCAGTGGCAGCGTCCCCCGCTTCAAGAGATCGTAGAGAATTCCTTCAGCAGCAGTTCCTGGCTCAGTGTGTTGAAAGCAAGGTTCTTCCTCACATTGATGCTGATGGACCGAACCTGAGAGAGATAAAAACAAGATGTTTTAGCCAAGGGACTCCTCCTAGCTCCCTGTAAGCATGGCAGCTTTGATATTGCTGATCTCCTCCAAGTTCAGCATGAAACCATTTTGCATGCTGTTACAGCCCTAGAGAACTTGCTGCAGCCAGCTCTCACTGAGACTCCAGCTTAGCAAGAAATCCCTGAGGATTAGCTGCTTCTTGGAATAACAGGAACATCTATAATGACATCCCACCAAGCAGAGTAAATTCCAAATGAGACAGGGATGGGAGAGGATGCTCTGTTTGGATGCATGGGCTATGATGTGTTCCCCGATGGGGAAAGCGAGCGCTTCCAGGTTGCAGCTGGAAGAGCATTTTCTACCAGTGCCCACTGGACTGCCAGCCAAGCCAGCATTCTCCTGGATGAATGCAGTGCCATGGCCTCTGTCCTGCTCCAGAAACTGCAGAGCCAAAGATACAGAGTCAAGGAAAGGACAAAGGCCATGCTACTGTGCTGCAAATACAAATTATCACCTAGATAATTGGCAGAAAACCATGGGTTTAGAGCCAGCTGTGTGTATTCTATGCTGAGTGCCTTACACCCGAAGCTGGCTCACTAGCTGTCACTGAAGAGATACCTTTATCCCTCAACAATGCCCGGACTTCAGGTCTTCCGCAGAGTCTGCAAAGAAGAGCTAGGCAGCCCTGTTGCGCAGCAGCTTCCCTTCTCCCTTCATGCCTGCAGACTCGTTGGCCGAACACACACACCCCAGACTGGGCTCAGTCTCAGCTGCACTCGGCAACGAGAAAACAAAGTCAAACATCATCTGTGTCAGTGACTGTGCAGCAGTGACAGAAAGCAAAACTGACACAAGCTCATCCAAACAACGGGATTACAGTTCCCAGAGACTCGGAGCCTGTGATAATAAGGTTGTTACTGACCTGGTTAGTGTTTTGTGCTTTTTAAAAGCACTAGGGGATGAATTATATAGAAGTAGAATGAGGAATCCAGCACTGGGGGCTGGAAGAGCAAGTTAGCAGTGTTTATACTGCTGAGGGTCCCACTTGCTGCCCTTGTGAGAAAAAAAGAGCGGAAGGGCAGAAAGCCCCCGAAAAGGCAGAACGTGTAAGAGTGGGAAGGAAATCCAAACATGGAAGGTTAACAGGGAAAGCTACGAAATGAAGCCCAGTGAGCCCCATTGCACAGACCCTAACAACCCGATCAAGCTAGCAAAGATGTCTACACTTAAAGACAGAATATTAAAGTTTTGTGGCATCTGCAGAAACCACAAACTCTCTTTCATCAGGATGCTTGGCAGAGACCCCATGCATCTTCATTCCCTTGCAGCACTCCCTCACCTCTCTTCTCTGGGTGTCTTTTGACTAACTCTATACTGAAATAGTTTGGGATCATGTCTCGTAAGATAACCACAGGTTATAGCCTATGTTAAACGCCACTGCAAGGGGTCTCCAGAACACTGGTTTGCACTGGGCTGTCTCCCTGCCAGGAGACAGGAGCCTCACTGACAGGATTTGGTCCCAGGCCTACTGAGTGCTCCCCACCTCAGCGATCCAGTCAGTTCTGACAAGAGGGAACAACATGGCTAAACAGATGCGGAGAGTCCTCTGCCCTGGGGGATGTGATTGCCTGCAGAAAAGGAGCAGATGCTACACATAGTGTAAGCCAGCATCCTTATTCTGACTAGAAGCATTTCTACGGGTCCCAGCAACAGAAGACACAAGCAGAAATGAGCTCCTCGCCTCAGAAACTGCTGCCAGGGGCCAGGCACCAGCAGCAGGAGATGCCCAACTTGTATACACATCAAGGTCTCCAAGAAGGATGTGGCAGCTGTCTCTACAAGCCCAGAATGGGAGGCTGGAGTGGCACATAATGAGAAGGCAGGGCTTAGCAGAAATTGTGGCTATGGGGTAGTGCACAAGAAATTAAGCCTGTTTAGTTTGCAAAGAGAAGGTTTAGGAGGAACAGAGCAAACACTCTCCAATATGTAAAATGAGGTCAGAAAGAGAACAGTGAGTAATATTTCTCTGGCTCCCCAGGGATGGGGCACGAAATACTCAGCTTAATTTAAGACAAAGAAGATTTACACTAGAAAAGAGGAAATACTTTTAAACCTATGGGTTGTGAAGCAGTGGAGTAGATCACCTAGTGCCAGTGTGGAGCTGTTTTCACTTAAAGACAGCTTCAGGTTTCAAGAGGAGCTTAGAAACAAACTTTGGTCAAGAGTGGTCTAGATGGACTTAGATCTGCTTTAACACAAGTTGGGGAGAGGAGTGGGCATGATAACACATGAGGTGACTCTGACATCTCTACAAACCTCTGCCCAGCATTTCTTCTGCTGTGAGAAAGCAAGCATCCCTGAGCCAACCAGCTTAAAAGGTAAGAATAGCTCAAATTAGAGTTAAATCAAGTGACCTCAAGCAGTAGGGCTCAGCACAGGGAGCCAGAGCTCATCTCCCTTTTGGGGTTGGAAGACCAGACAGTGACACAGGGAGGTGTCAGCCTGTAACAAGGATAAGTTTCAAAAGCTTCTTGCAGTCTGGCTGAGCTGCTCCATCCACGAGGCTACACCCCAGGACGCCTCCCGGCTCATGGTGCAGCAGGCAGCCCCGGCCTCGTTGCCAGCCTGGAAGATACCGGAACTCTCTAGAGTGGCTCATACAAGGTGCCGAAACCAGCCTCAGAAAGTAAGCTCAGAGCTTTAACATTCATTCTGTAAGGAGGTAAAAGCAGAGCATGTGTCCTCTCTTGCTTCTGTGTGGAGCATGCTGGAGCACACTAGGGACAGAAGAGCTTTTAAAATTGTTTTCTCCCTATTAGCAGTTTGGATCCAATTTAACCCACAGACTTTGAAGAAATGGGAAATGCATGAAATGCTGACATCACCTGCAGAACAATGAGCAAATGAAAGAACGGATGAAGCGGTGGCCTTAACCATGTGAGGAAAACATTATTCAGTTCTAGTTTTGTGTCATTATAGCTGGATGTGTGCAACACTGTACAGACACTCCTATTTCGCAGCACGTCCCATCAATTAAACCAGTCTCCAATCAACAAGCAGCTCTTAAGAAATTTGTACAATGGGAGGAAGGTTTACACTGCCTACTACATCTAATTAAGTCAAATTAGTATAATTTCCCCTGCAGAAATCAATCCCTAATCAGACTATTTTGAGACTCTGCTGAAACCTATCCAACTGCAAAGACAGTGAATGTTTTGGAAAGATGCTGAATCTCTTTCCACACATTCCTCCAGCTGCAATGCAAGAGTCCAAAAGCTCACATCCAAACCATTCATTCTATCAAAGCAGCACAGACCTCAAATGATATCCTTGAGGGTTCAAAGGAAAAGAAATAAAAAATGTTAGAAAACTTCCTAACTTCCTTACTTTAGCCCCTCAAAGGCAGCACAACAGGCCAGAAAACCCAGTTGATATAACACTCTGCACATCACCTTCCACCACAATGTGGCTGCACTATCGCAGGCCTTTGAAAGCTTCTTTGAAAAGGGAATGGGAGAAGAAAGCAGATTTTTCTTTGGGATTAGCAAGAAAGTGCAGCACTGAAGCAAAGCCAGAGAAGTGAAGCAGTGCATTAGCAAAGCACGTCAAAGGAGTGAGAACAAGATTTCTAAGCATAAAGGAGCCAAGAGAATGGCTTGGGGAAGTTTCTGCTCACCCACTTAATGGGAGCACAGAGAGATGAAAAGGCAGTTGAAAAGGGAAACGGCTCCTATGTGTCATTCCCTACCAAGAAGGATTTGCTTTAATGCAATCACACAGATAGAGATAAGAAAACCAGACAGAATCTGGAAAGAATTATTTGCAAACAGATCCTGCTCAGGAAGACCTGATGGGACCAGCATGAGTTTGGAAACCATACTGGAAACCTGTAGTTCACCACCAGCCCTGCTCCTTTGGCAGAGTCCATGAAAAAAAATTGCAGGAACTTCACTCTGCCCCCTCCATGAAATCCTGCAAACCTCAGCAGTTAAACACAATGCATTGGGTAGGGAGATATTATCCAACATCAGACCAGCAACAGAAGCCGAAATAAAGACTCAGAAGCCTCGCAAAAAGGAAGCCAAGAACCTGGTTTGAAGAGGATATGGGGAGGACAGGACAGACTAGGGCCTTTTTGACAAGATGTTTGAACAATTAATAAAGCCATCAGTTACTGTGCACCTAGAGGAAAAAACAGCGTGGAGGCCAGGAGGCCAGCTGGGTTTGCTGAAGACAAATCATAACATATCAGGTTGATTTCCTGCTGTGTTGAGGGAACAGCTTAATGGAATGCAGGGGATTTTCTGTAGCTGTGAGTAAAGAACATTTAATAGGGTCCCAATTCTCAGGGCATCTAGAGAAATGTGGATTAAACAGATTCACAACTGGGTCAAATAAGCACATTTAGACAGTAATTATTCAGGCTTTCATATCCTCTTGAGGAGAGGGTCCCAGGGGTACCTGGACGGGCAATTTTCAGAAGGGAGTCGAGGAGGGACTGGTTGTGCTAAACAGATTCTTAAATGATACAAAATTGGGATTTGGGAAAAAAAAAATCAGGCTAGGAAGAAAATAATTTTAGCTGAAGTGTTTTGTAGCTGTGGTGATATTAGGACCGAGAATGTCATTTTAATCAATTGGCATGATCAGCCTGAGCTTCTGCCAGGCCAAGTGGAAAGTGGGGCATGCAGGAAGCAGAGCAGTCATGTGGCCAAGAAGCTGCGGAAGGAGATGCTGGCTGAGGAGGGCAGGAGCCCTTGGGACAGAACAGATTACAACAGAAACATGAATGCGTCTTATTTCTAGGGTAAGTAACAGGAGAAGCTCCTGTCACAGGAAGGCTATGACCAAATTTCTTTGCATGAATTCCAGATATGGTATCAAACAGCAGGCCAGAGACACAAAAACAGGCACAAAAGAGCACAGAAAAATGGCATGAAAGTGCTTGCAAATGTTTTTGCCTGTATCCTATCGAATGGCAGTGCTGGAATGACCAAAAAAACATTTAAAAGCATTCTGTAGAAGGAAGCAAAACCAACTCAGGTGTGCTTGCTCTGGAGCAGAGCAGACAGAGGGAGGCATAACATTCTCAAACTCATGCAGACTCGTGACAGAGTGGGCAGGCATCAATTACTCATCCATCAGCAAGGACACAGCTGGGAGAGAGAATCAGCTCTCAAACTGGTGGAGAAAGCTGCCAGAGCTAGAGATCTCTCCCTTTGCTGAAGCCGTAATGATTCAAAAGTGAGGAAAAACAGGCTCCCTTCAGATACCAGCCACTACAAAAACATTGCCTCTCTGGTGATCTGGCCGTTGGACAAGAAAATGTTGCATCAGGGCTCTCTGGAGCAGGGTAAGTAAGCTGGCTTGCTGAAGAATGTAACTACCAACCCAAATTATTTGGACTCAGTTTTGTCTTCACTATATTATTTTTGGGGGGCTTCCTACCATTAGTCTTCTCCTCTGGCTGAAGGAGACATTTCTAGGGAATGCCTTTGCTTTCTTTGCTTGGGAACCCTATTTTGTGAGTGATGGAGGAAAGCAATGAGCAAGCAGGTGTTTCACCAGCATCACGTTGCCTGCTTAGTCCCATGCTTTGCAGTCTCCCTTACAACAGCAAAAAGGCTAAGTTGCTTTGCGTGATAAACCCAAGGCAGGAGCAAGTCAGCTTCTCTACCGCGCATATTTACCACCACAAAGCACAGTGGATCCCCATGGCAGAAGGAACAGAGACTGACTGGCTGGTTGCTGGCCTGAGCAGTCTGGTGGTTCCTGTCCAGCCATGTATTGTAGGGCAGGGAGCTCCAGGGAGCTTTTAGATCTGTTGAGACACGCATTGTCTGTTCAGATCCTATTCCTGCCCCATCTTTGGATGCAGCCCAATAGAGTAACAAGGCTGCTCAGCTATACCCCAAATGCCGCTGCCCAGGCCGTAAGCAAAGGCTTTGGAAAAGGGTTGTTGATGCTGCAGAACGAAGGCACCTTACCAGCTCTTTGAAGAAGGCAGCCTCTTTATGCTGCTCTGAGTAGCGCTCATACTGGTCCAGTCCGTCCTGCAGTTTCAGGGTCAGCGTGTCGTAGTTGGACCGTACCACTTCCAAAACCTGCCAGAGACAGCAAATACAGCACAGGAGTCAGCATCCACAGGCGCCTCAGCGTAGGAGGAGCAAGGCTGAGATAGATCACAGCTCTGGCACCTGTTTTTGCAACATACATGGCTTTAACAGCCAATATTTGGCTCATGACTAACAACACGGAGGTGGGCACTAAAGTCTTCCTAATGCCAGTAAGGAACAGCCCTCAAATTTACAGAATTTCTCCATTCACAAGAACAGTGGATGAGTCTATATCTATGATAGCAGCTGTTTTCCAAATACTACTGTCACCATGAGAAGCAGACATGACCTCATTAAATTGAGCAGCTAATTACCATGGGTACACCCATGTGTAACACAGTAGGCACTATGCAAACACAGGTTTGCCTGACCCCATGGTCCTTCCAATGCTAGTTTTGCCAGCACCCCTCCCTCCTGGCTTGCTAATCACCATTCACAATCTGCTAAACCACCAGTTTCTACCGCTGCTCACGTCAGCTTCCATACGGAGCACTGCACTTCTCTCCTGATAGGAACAAGCTTGTGACAGGAACTAAGAGAAGACCAACCCTAGTACGGACTCTGTTTTTGGAAATGGATGGAGACACGAATCCAGATATTTTATGATCTGCCTTCACTGCAACTAAAGCACTCCAGCTTATATTACTGTCTTACTCTGGTCCCAGCACTGGGCTATACTTGCAAATTCATAGTTACGCATTTCTGTCCTATTGAACTATTCATTTTCCTAACTAGGGAACACCAAGAGGGACTCCCACAATGCTTTTTAGCTTCAAAGCATTGCATGGACAAATGCATTCCTCAAAGCATTTGTGAGATGGTAAGTAACAATAATCTTCCTACCAGGAACCACACAGTTCAGTCCTCCTGGGCAAAACATATGCTTGAAACAGTTCTCTTAAACATATGAACTTCTTTCTTAGGCTGTTATCATTTGATCTGAGAGCTAAACAGAATATCAACATCTGATGTTTGCATTACAGTAGCCTCTGTTCCTGAAAAGCTTCAGCCAGGAGGACTACATAGTATAAGGTGGAAGAGTACTCTGCCCCAAGGCATCACAACTCAGAAAAGATTCCATGAAAAGCATTGCAGAGGATTTAAGACAACAGTGACCAGAACAATAAGGAATCCTTCTACTTCTCCTCTTGTCCTACCAGCAATGTAAAAACTACCCTCAAGTGCCCTTTTAGGTAATTTAGCTCCTCCCCTTTACAGGACTGAATAGTGTCCTTATATCCTTTACTCTAGGAAACCTAGACATGCTTAGGGTTCCTTCAAAGGCTTGTTTCCCTCAAACTTTGCATGTGGCAGTGGCACACACTCATGCAAATGCTTAGAAGCAAGCTAGGGCCTGAGGTGCAGAAGCCATAGGGCATCATCCAAATGAGGACTGGGGGTAAAAAAGGGTCCCAGAAGTGGTTCCCAGGCGAGCTGATCACACAGCATAGTCTCTTTGCAGCTCAGCTACCCTCCAGCATTGCAGAGGCAAGCTAGGGATAGGAATCAGCATTTTGCAATGTTATTTAAGAACAGCCTGTCAGTATCTTGCTGCTGCAAGAGCACGCAACCTCCTCTCCAGGACTCATTTCCTAATGGTGTTTGTCAGCTCCACTGGCAGAGAGGAAGAACCCGCTGCAATGACAGCCGTCTCCAAATTCAGACTGGCCTTCTCATTCCTGTGTGCAGAAGCTGCAAGAAGTATCACAAAGCCAAGTGCAATGGTGAAGGAAAGCCACCTTGGTAGAGGAATAATTTATTCTGGGATGCAACTATCCATGAGGGATGGAGAGTAATAGTGTAATGCACCTTCTTCTGAGCAATAAAGAATCTAGCAGCTTGCATGAATCAGAGGGCTATCCCTCCTGTCAATCAGAGGAAGCCAAATTGACCAAGACTAATAAGCTGCAGGGGAGAAACCTTGTTTGAAAGGTGAGAAGTAGAACAGGCTTCTCCAGCAGTAACTCAGAGTGGAGGCATTTTACCCAGGGCTATCCCACTCCCCAGGAACCTTCCCTTGGCCTCCTCTTCACTCCCCTGTACCCCCATACCACAGCCACGCCTAGTGCCATACAGGTGTGCCCAGACAATGGATGTACAGGCTTCTCCATGAAGAATTAGGATTCCTCCTTGCTAGCTCTGAGTAGAAATATCTTCAGATACTCAACAGAGGCATCCTCAAACCACGGTGAGGAGTAGTAAACTCGGAGGGAAGCAGCAGCGAGCTCTGTAAGCACTATTCTTTAAATCAGTCACCCAGTGTCACCTTTGAAAGGCAGCTAAGAACTCAGTTTGATACTTTAGGAGAAGGACAGGGAAGGAACAAGAGGCCCCAAAAGTCTATACTGTGTTACCCACTACTTATCGTAATCTCTGCAGTGAACTTGAGATCAGCTTATCCCTTTAGCTATGTATTTTCATTGGCTTCCACTCCTTATCACCTTTAATTATGAAATAGAACTTAAAAAGCAAGGGTAAGTTAAAAATAAACAGCTTTCCCTCACTGCCTGATAATTTCCCTTTCTTGCTGCTGCTGAGAAAAAATACTATGTGGGATCTGAGATAAACCCACTCACAGATCATTTCATTTCATACCTTATAATGGATAGGAACTGTTACTGAGATTAGGACCTGCCATCCTTGAGATGATTTCATCTGCTCTTTAAGATGCAGCTGCTAGACAGAGGAGAGGTTAAAGAGCAGCAAAAGGTATTAAGAACATCTAACACGAAGGTTTAAAAGACATCAGCATTCTACACAGATGACAAAAACTCACATCCTCTGTGTAACAGAAGATTGCGTGTTAGCATCCTTCGCTCTTCTTACACACTGCTTTGACTTTTGCTCAGGAAAACTACTGCAGGAAGAACGCCCTTTTGCGTTAAACACACGAGCTCTTTATCTGCACCTTTTTGTCACATACAAAAGAACTAGAGGAATTTAATTTTGAGATTAAAATACTTCTCCTTCAAAGTCTTGTCCAACCGGGTCTTCCTAGAAGTCTCTATGGAAGACTGGAAAACATCAATTCCAAGATGGTGGAGTATGAATAACTTAAGGGAAGGGACTTTTAGCTGGACTTTCTATACAGATTTTAAATAGTCGTTCAGTTTTTTTTAAATCTCACGAGCAGCTGGAAGAACACCACTTCTAGTGTCAGGAAACGAGAGAGGAAAATGGACTGTACGTGATTTCTGAGGAGCTCCTCAGATTGCTAGGATAAACATGCAGGGCAAACTATTTTTTAAAAAATGCTTTACAGGATCTTTACAGAGGAAAAAAATTAAATGGAGTCGCAACCTAAATCTCTTTTTGTAGATTACTTTATGGGGACCAGAGTCTTAAAAAAAGCAATATGACAGAAGTGAGCAACTCAGACATGGTCAATATAAGAAAAGCAAAGGCTGCCAAATTCCTTTCCTGCAGTTACCTGTATCAGCCCCAGAGGCTACATTTGCTCATTCACTCCACTGCAACAAACCAGAAGTCAGTGGAGCTGCACCACTGTAATTTAAAGATAATTTGCCATCAAATTAACCCCCTGCCCCACCGCTCATTCACTGACTGCTTTCCAGAAGTTCCAGAGAAACATTAGCAATTCAGGTCCCTGCATACATGTCCCCAAACCAACCTTTCAGGAGCTGCTCTGAACAGCAAGTGCTTTCTGTAGTGCTCAGATTTCATCTTACTCCTGCAGCTACAACTGCCCATGCCCCATAACTCTCCTTCCCCAGTAACACCAACAACTTGTGAGTAGTGGCACCCTCCAGGTAACATGGCAACGGGGCTGGCTTCCAACAGAGGGGCTGATGTGGGGCTCAGCTCTCTGCAGCATCCCACCCATGCCATGCCATGCCATGCCATGCCATGCCGCTGCACCCAGAGGAACAAGATTATTTCACAGAGTTTTTGGCTCCTTACTTTGCTGCATCCACCACCTTACCGCTCCCTTGCAAACTGGATGGACAACCTCAGAAGGGTCAGTGGACTCTTGTGGACACAACCTCTGAAACTAGTTCCCCCAGAACCAATTGCCCCTGCCCCAAAATCTCCTGCCTTCAAAACAGACCATGTTTTGCTGTACCACTCTCTACACACAGCCTCCTTCCTTACTGCACCAGAGCTGTTCCCTCTGACTGATCCTCAACAAGACCCAACTTTCTGCAGTCTCCCAGGAGAGACCGGACCTTCTGGAAAAGCCTGTCCTGGGGAAACAAGGGCACTACATGCAGCAGCCTCCGATCCCCATCCTGCCCAGGAGAACACAGCCACTGTTAGCAGCAAAGCCACAGAGGGAGCTGCACCGGCAATGAAATCTAACAGGCAACACGCAGAACTAGGGCCCATCTATCTAGCAGACACGGTAGGCTTCATTGCTTAGTAACTTTTTAACCTGCAGAATCTTTCATCATCTGCAACTGCAGTCTCTGCCTTACTAGAATATAAAATTAGAGAGCACCACCAATTCACACCACCCAGCAAAGGACCTGGTGGTGGATCTGTTCTGGGAAGCATGCACAGGTAATGACAGAAAAATAAAGGAAAAACAGAAGCAAGAAGAAAGCAAGGGTTCTATGCTGACTTTTTCATCAGCACAGGAAAGGACAAGAATGCAATCAGTCAGCATCACCAGTACCTCACTAAAGCCTCTCCATGCCCATAAGACAGCCATTAGCTACCACGACACAGAAGCAGTTGGAAAAGAACTGACTGAATGATCTCAGGTCAAGCAAAAGGCAAAACCACCCCAAACAATGAAACCCAACAACCCTCAGGTTAAAATGCATTTGCCCCCCACACCAACTCCATGCAGCTCACAAGGCTGGGATGGGGGGAGGCTCTCCAGATCAGGCCTAGCAAGCCCTCACAGGATGGCAAATCCACGCGCTTCTGTCCCAGTGGTCCCATGTTGGAGGACGGAGCAGCCAGTCGATGGGGCATGTAACGCGAAGCCCTCACCAGCATTACTGCATGGACATGGCACAGGG